CTGATGTTATAATGGTTAATTTATATAGAAAGATTTGCATGTAACTGCAACATACAATTAGTAGTTACTAAATCTATGAGATACAATTTCTATACACTTTTAGTATACAACTGTGCATTGCGTCAATGCAATATTTAGTTATCATGAAAGGTGCAGGTTGTTATATATGTTCACACTACTGTCCAAAATACCTACCACTACTCTTAGTTGAGAAAGGAGTCTGAGGGTGTGTTTAAGGAAAGGTATAATTAAAAAAATGGACCAAGTGGCCAAATTGCAAGTTTAGAAGATCCAAAAATCTAATAGATGGAAACATCCTCCTCAAGGTTGCATAAAGCGAAACTTTGTATTAGTATTTTGGTTTTGTAATATACTTTGGTGTCTTTCAAAATAATATTATGCTTTATTTAGTTGTCCTTAAGTTTTTAAATATTGTTGAGAGAAAAAGGAGTGGGTTTTAGTCCTGAATTGAAGATGAGAGTGTAGATTGAGTGGTATTTAAGTGTGTCATTCTCATGACATTCACATCGGTGCATGAGGGACCCCTTGCCCAATCATGTGTGGGTCTAGCTCAAGGCTCAATAACTTTTTGCAAGTCGTGACTAGTACGAATGTAGCGCTTGTTGGAAATCCAACAGTCTCTAGCCGTTGAAGACACAAAGCACCTAAAACTGATTGCAGCCTTTGAGATGCATGTAACTATTCACATCCAATGGCTAAGAACTGTTGATGATAGTTGTTTGACTTCCAACAGTTACTTTGTGAAGTGTAACAGCATAAAACTGTTTACTTGGACAATAAATTTGCAACTACATGTAGCTCTATATAATGAGTCATTTTCCCATCCTGTGAACTAGTCATGTGTATGTCATTCTCAATAGAGCACTCATCCCTGTTTCTGTACTCGTTTTTCTCTCTTTCTCTCTCTAAGAATATAAGATTGGTGTACTACAATGGGCTTATAAGTCAGGTGCATAATGCATTGAAGCATCAAAAGAGGCATTCTATTTTCTTGTATCATGATGATGAATTGACATTTTATGTACACATTTTACAGTATTGAAGGGGAGCAAATATCATCTTGAAAAAGCACTCTGCCCGAAAACAGGAATGAAATTTACCTAACTTATTTTATTTTTGCCCATGTTTCACCATAATACATTTCAACACTTCGATGGAAGTTTTAGAAACAACCCACATCTTTCTTGAGGACTTGGTTCGCGATGGAGATGATATTACGCTCTTCACTTACTCAGGTCATGTATCTGTTGCACTGCCGGTAAGACCTAGACAAAGACAAGTCGTCTGATGTGTTGATTGTCTCCTACCATCACATTATTGAAGGAGACTCAATTAATGTTGGCCATCTATTAGTGCTATGACAAATTCCTTGGGAATTCATATGACCTAGATGAAGTCAAGCTAGGATTGAGACAAGGAGGTGCTTTCTCAGCATATTAAATTGATAAGGAAATAATGAGGCCCATCAAATGGGCTTCAACCAGAGCCTTTAACTCTTGATTACTTTTGAGTATGTATAAATGTCTTCACAAATTTGTGTATCCTTACTCGTGCATCAATTTTGATCAAAAGGATTTTGTTTTGAAATTAAATAATGTTTCAAAAAATTTCAATTTTACAATGAGTTGTTTTTTTTTTTGTCATTTTTCTTTTATTGATGAAATTAGGTTAAGGATCAAATTAATCGTTTTTATTGTTAAAAATAAGTTCGATCCTTAAGGGATTGAACTGATTTTTTTGTTGCTAAGAATAAGTTAGACACTTGAAGGGCCGAAATGAATTTTTGCTTTTGTTTAGAATTAGTTCAACCCTTGAAGGGCCGATCTTATTTCTTTTGTTGTTAAGAATAATTCGACCTTTTAAAGGTCACAGTATTTGTTTTTTTTCTTTTTCTTATTTATGTTAAGAATCAGTTTGACCCTTTAACGAACTGCAATTTTTTTGAGCAATTTTCTTTTTCCTGTTCAACCTTAAGGCACACCCCTCGTTGATTGTGCTCTAGATATAATGCATTGAAGAAAGAAACTGGAGACTTCAGAGAAGAGAGCTGTAGTTATAATCGAATTGTCTACGCATCAATCTCAGAGCAAAATTTGAATATGTTATGGAATATGATAAAACATTATATGAATGGAAAATAAAAGTCGATCGCAGGAGCCACAATGTGACATTTAGGGAATGTTTAATTTGGTGGAATTTTTGGTAGTGGGGGGCCCAAAGTCCACCAAAAACCCTCCCTTGTTTGTTGCAACCTCTAAAAGCCGCAAGCTTGAAGGGGGTGTAAGTTTAAGTTCGATGTAGGGCTGAGAATTTCCCCATATTCGAAACCCGAAATTTGGATCTTGGTATGGATCCAAGTTTTGAATCAGGAATTTGGATCCGAATCTAAAATCTAGATCTAAATAGCAATTCGAGTAGGATCCGAATATAGGTGGATCCGATATGAATCTGACTTAGTTTTTTTAAATAATATATATTATTTTAAATATACATATAATTTATATATTTGTTAATTTATATATAATATATAATTATTTTAACTTTTATAATCATATTTTAACTTTATGATATACAAAATTAGAAATGATCCGGATCTAGATCCATGGATAATTTTGGATCCAGATCGAGAACTGGGTGGATTAAGATCTTGATCTGGGTGGATCCGAACCCAATTCGGAGAATTCTCAGCCCTAATCAGATGAGGCGCATTTTTAATCGACTTTATGTGGATATCCTTTGTTATCTCCTCTCTCCCACAAGGCTCTAGGGGCATGTTTGATTTTACGGAGTTTTTAGGAGTGGGAGTTGAACGTCCCACTTTCATGTTTGATTTTGATGCAAGGAAGTGTAGCGTTCTACGCAGCATTTTTTTAGCGTCAAAACTGTACTATTTTTGGAATACTATCCTTCTATCTTAAATGATAGAAGGGCGGGCGTTTTTCCATAATTTGTGGGAGACTCCTCCCACTCTGAAAATCTCCGGCCAATGTCTTCAAAGAATAATATTTATCTCAAAACAACTAAATCTACTGAGCACCTAAAGTTCCTTGAGTCTTACTTATGGAAAACGTCAAACTGTGTCGAAGAAAAAGAAAAATGCTCCAAAAAAATTTAATTTCAACTTTAAAGGATTAAATCTCTTAGGCATCTAAAGCCTCATAAGTCTTACTTCTGAAAAAGACTTCCAAACTTCGAGCCTTAAAGGGCCGAAGTATGTTCAAGAAAAATAAAACTGCTTTAAGTTTGACAAATTTAATTCAACCTTTAAAGGATCGACCTGATTCTTAATTAAAAGAAATAAATCAATTTGACCCTCGAACTTATTCTTAACAATCAAGAAGAGTAGTTTGGACATTCAAGGTTCGAACTTATTCTTGACATCAAAAGAAATTAGTTCTAACCTTCAAGGACAAGTTCCAGCCTTCAAGGGTCGAACTTAAACTTCATCATCAGCATCCGAGCTGTATCTCAATTATTTGGGGTCAGCTACACGAATTGAGTTTTATCATTCTGTATCTTAATTATTTGGGGTCCGCTGCACGAATTGAGTTTTATCATTATGCTCTATTATGGGCAACATCCTCAGTAAAATCATATAGGTCACTATATTTTTTCTTACTACTTCCATCTATGTCATTTTGAGCCTTTTTTCTTTTTTGTTTAGAACCTTTTACTAGAAACTAAATCACACCTTCTAACCGGCGTTGTATTAGGCATACTCTATACATGGCCAGCCTACCTAAATCTATTTTCCCTTGTCACCTATTGCACCACACCTAAATTCTGTCAAATATATTCATTCCAAATTCTATCATTTCTTATCATGCCACTCATCTATCTAAGCATCCTCATCTCAGTTGCACTCATCCTATGGGTATGTTGTTTATTGACCGTCCAACATTCCATCTTATAAAGCACAACTGGTCTTATAGCTGTCTTATAGGAGTTCTCTTTCAGTTGATATGCAACTATTACATAAAACTCTAAATGCACAGTAAACGTCGAATTTATGCTTAACAACAAAAAAGTTAGTTAATAGTTTCGAATATAAAAATTGATTGTAAGTTAGAAAACTTTGATACTATTTTTTACATGTTAGAAAAGTAAAATTTATAGAAACCCCCCAATTTGCATTTTCTAAGCATATCCTCCAATATTTTTATATTATTAATTTCAATACTTTTTATTTTGATAACCACTTCGTAAATACAAAAGTAGACTTTTTGTTTTTTCCAAAACTCTTTATGCCCACGTTTGCCACTTTGTTTCTCTAAATCGGTCCGGCACAATTTATATAGGTAGTTTGAACGTTATTTGCTATGTACTCAACTTGTGTCGGAACAACTTGTATAAAGCCAACACTTTTTGCGCCGGACCAAGACATGTGTCATGTTTTTTGAAACATTGGTTACAATGGAAGGAGAATTTAGTTAAAAAAAAATTTAACTTTTTTGTACGGTGGTGCAATTTGTATAGAGTTGAGGCTCAAAACAACAAAAATAAATGGTACTTTCAAATAGTATTGAGAAATGTAGTTCAATACTGAAAATTTGTGTATTTAATTATAAAATTTAAAGTTTTAAAAATAGTACAGGTCGAACACATTTATGAAAACTTAAAAATTTTGGAAACTTGAAAATCTTGAAAACTGACCGTCTAAAAATGTGTGACAAAATGTATTATTTTTAAAATTTAAAATTAATTTTTTTTTCATGTCCATGCACCATCATGTCGAGATGATCGATTTGACGATATTTCGACAACAAAACAACATCTTCGAGTGAAATTTTTAAAGTGGGATCAAATTTATTGTTTAGAGCGTCGGCTCTGTAGCAACTGTCTCCTAGCAGGAGATCTACCCAAAATCCAGGTAAAAGCGAGACACGTCACCCTATTATATTACATTGACGAATACGAATGTTAGGACAGTCAACCCTCTACTCTCCGCAGCACAAATTATAACACAAATTCAAACTCGCCCTTTTTATCGGGCAAGAAAATTCCCCTGCATTTTCATTTCACTAAGAACTTTTCAACTGGCCAGGAGACTGTCGCTACAAGAGTCCCGCGAAGCGCCATCCCCCAAGGCCCTGCATCTCTCTCTCTAGTCTTTACGCACGCAGACACGCAGCAGCTCTCTTCGATGAGCATGGGGCCTTGCGCCGATGCTACCACGCTTGTTTAGGCGGAGCGGCGACCGACGCTCTGGCGAAGGCGGCGACCGACGCTCTAGCGTAGGCGGCGATTCACGGACCGCACCACCCATGGACCAAAGTCCCACCACACGCCGCTCGCGCACGCAGCCGAGGCTCGACCGACGCAACGCTGTCAAGCACATTGACTATGAGGCCTCGGCCTCGGCCTCGACCTCGACCTCGCCTGACTCTGGTTCTGGCCTCAGAACTAGGTCACTTGACCTCGAGCCTCGCTATGGTGGAGAGATGAGCTTTAGGGTTGTTGGGGGAGTTGATGGTGAGCTTGATAAGATTTGTAGTCATTTGGGGCTCTCGGGGCCGGATGATTTTTCAATTCCTAGAGCTGCTTGGGAGGCGAGAAAGGCGAGGTCTTCATCTGATTTGTTTCCAAGGTCTCGACTTAGAGAGGATTCTTCGGACGCTGTGGGGAGTCCGCGGGATTCTAGCGTTTCTGATCTTAAAGAGAGCGATGGCACCGCTGGAGTTTCTAATGAGTTTGTCTCTGAGCAGAGATCTAGGGTTTCTGACGCTCTGGGTGTTGATTCAGATGCTAGTTTAAATGAGTTGGTGAATTATAGTCTTATCGGTCTTCCAGCTGAGAATTCTACGGTTTCGGCCGCTCCGAATGAGAAATCTGGACTTCCTGGTTCCCCGGATCTTAATGACAAATCTAGGGTTTTGAATGGGAGAGCAAATTCTAGGGTTTCTGGTGATAAACCTAGGGTTTCTGGTTTGCACGATGAAACCAGGAAGACTGGAAACCGTAAATTTTTTTGGTTGGCAGATTCGATCAGGAACTCTATGGTCTCGAGGAGTTCAGAAGTCATTGAGAATTCTGGGGTTTCAGGTGATAATCACGGGGTTTCAGGTCCACAAGATGAGATCATGAGGACTGGAAAACCTAAATCCCTTTCTCTTGAAGATGGGATTGTGAATTCTATGGTTTCAAGGAGTTTAGAAGTGATCAATAATTCTAAGGGTTTGGTCGAGAATTCTAGGGTTTCTGGTATCAAAGGGATTCGGCCTCCCATGCTTGCTCGACCTCCTACTATGTCTCTTCCTGTTGTGGTTGATAACTTCTCTTCTACTTGGGATATAATTAGGTCATTAGCACCTGTAGAAGAGGAGGCTTCTCCCGCTGTAAGAGGAGGGGGTTGGGAGAGTGAAGAAGATGTAAGGGAGGAGGAGAAATTGGAAGAAGAGAGGTTTGGGGCTAGGGTTGGAGAGACTGATCTCACTACTGCTTCATGCTCATTCTCGACATCAAATGATGATGATTCTTCGAGCACTAGCACCACCACAGAGGGCATGTATGTCATTTCTCCTCATGGTAGGTTCAGGCGTGGGATCAAATCATGGATTCGAGGTGGGCTTCTTGGGAGTGGATCCTTTGGGACTGTATATGAGGGCATCAGTGAGTAAGTGATGTTAGAGAATTAGATGATTCTTTCTTATTATGATTCTTTATAGCCCAGTTTCTAAGTAAAATGAAGCTCTTTTATTTCCCTTTCATTTCCTTTCTGATCTATGTCCTCTATGGTGGTGACCTTGAATTCAAATCAAATAAACATTTGGGATTAATATTTGATAGCTTTACGTTAGAAATCCCTCTCATACAGTAGGTTTTGCTTTAAGAGAAGGTGATTCTCATTAGTTTGCATTTACTTGAAGCAAAATGATCTTTCATACTCTATCAAATGGGCTGGTTACTCAATTATAATGGGCAAACTATAGATTATATCAGTACTTTGCTAAAAGAATTGACCTTCACACTCAGAATTTATGCACAAGTTATTTGAATTGTGATTTTCAATTGCCTTTTAACTGGCATGTTCTATGGCTTGCGTTAGATATTCACAACTAGAAATGATCTTTCATTAATTCAGTTGTATGATATCTGGATGATTTTCAAATTTGGATTCCTTGTTTGTAATTGTAATACCATGGATTATCCTTAGTATTTGCTATGACCTTTTCTAAATCCCTTCCCAAGTTTTCACATGAAAGTGATGTTCATGATGAATTTTTTGGTGCTCTATGTTGTTGAAATCAATGCCAAGAGTAGAATGTTGTCAGCAAGAATCAAGGTATAAAATGCTCCTGCTGAAGGGGTAGACAAATGTGTGTCTTTTTGATAATTAGCCTCTGTGACCATAGTATATGAAACGGCCCTACATTTGGCATGGTTGAATTTTTTGGTGCTTTATGTTGTTGACATCAATGTCGGTCAGGAGAATGGTGTCAGCAAGAATCAAGGTATAAAATGTTTCTGCTGAAGGGTAGATAAATGTGTCTTTTTCATAATTGGCCTCTGTGAACATAGTATAATGAAATGGCCTTACATTTGGCATGGTTGTACCAGTGTTTTAAATGTGGGATGCGGTCCCAATGCAGCGGGGGATCGATGCGGCGATGCGGTCCAGATGTGGGAACATCGCCTTGATGAGGTCATTAAATATAAAATTTCTCAAAAAATAGGTTAATACCTGAAAAAATATGGAGGTGATTTATGTCATAGTAGTTATTTAATTTATTCATTTGCTCCACTATTATCAGCTGTTCGGAGACTTTGAATCCCTTGTTAGAAGGCATTAGAAATTAGAGACTAGAAACTTGAAAGTAACTTTATAGAAGATATCATATTATTGCAATTGCAAACTCGACCTTTGAAACCCTCGATATCCTGACGAATCTATGCTCAAACTTCTTCAAAAGAATGCCCATGCTAATCCCAATCGACAACCCAACCAACAATAAGAGCAAATCGACAATTTTTTGCAATCAAAATTTCCTCCTATTTTTTCTTCTTCGTTTGATCCAAAAACAGCCACAAATGAGCCTTTTTTTGTGTTTGGAGGGGGCTTTAATACCCCCAAAACCCTTTCCACCACTTTTGGGGGGAAATGACCAAAATGCCTATGCTCGTGGGCACTATTTTTACCCACAAGCTATGCGGTGCATATGCGCTATCCACTATGCGGCTGTGTATGCGGTGGGCTGCGGCACATATGCACCCCTATGTGATTCTCTTTGGGGTGCATAATGCATAATGCGGCCGCATATGTGGCAATGCAGCCTCATTTTAAACAATGGGTTGTACAACTAACTATGGCAACTCCCCAAATCTAGATCATGGAGCTTGAATGAGGCTACAAATAGCCTTGCAAAGGTCGCAGTGATTCAACCTTGTTTCTTTGCACTTTGTCTTGATTGCATGCCATTTTATCATAGAATACTTTAGCTTCCATCACAAGGGAATGGGATCTGGTGCCATATAGGTTCAAATTAATGTGGGTGGACCTTGGGGGTGGTGCGAGAGTGTTGATTGAGAGAGAGAGAGAGAGTTGGGTTCAAATTATTGGGGTTAGACCTAGTGGCATGGTGCTAGAGTGTTTAGAGAGAGAGAGAGAGACAGACATAGTTGGGGGTTGCAGTGGGTTTGGGGTAATGCTGGGAGTGTGCATGGGCTTTCTTTAAAAACTATATGCCTTATGCAAGACAAACTTGAAGGGTATGGTCCTGGTTGTGCCATTTGAGAGCCATCTTGGATTAGCATGTTCAGGCAATGGTGTTTGATTTGATTTAGATAAACCCATGAGCTTTTCCTACTGCCTTAGAAAATCAAAATCTTACAAAAAAAGTAATCTTATGGTGGTTTTGAGGAATTACATTGCTGGAGTAGCATGGTGGAAGGGGCAAATGCTGCTTATTATTTTTATACGTGAAACGTTGGATATGTGGATATGAAGATTTTAGGCGTATTTGTCTAATTGGCAGTCTGTTTAAGATGCCAAGGTCACATGAAGATGAACCAATTGAGGGACAGCCTGCTGTTTTGGGTCCTTTGTAATAACGTGAGAGGAAGGTGTAGGTCCTGTAATAGGCACTTTCTAAGGCACTTTCTACATCTCCATTTGGTGTTTTTATATCTTCCTATTCGTTATTTTGTAGTGGACATTTGACATATATTGTTGAGTAAAGAGTTGAGGCGAATAAAATATTATTTGGCTTCTGTTGAAGACTAGGAGACAAAAGCACACGTCTCTTTTGCCATAAGTTTGGTTAGAGCATCATCAATTACGGGTGGCATGGCTACCCTAGTGTATTCAAACTGAAAGTTAGATGAAAAGGACCCAAGGGCAGAAACAGCCAAAGTTTCAGTTGTTCTTCGAATTTTTTCAAATATTGCCCCTTCCTTAGGATCCATCAGTGCTTGTTGACTCCAAATCATCAATTACAGGTAGCATGGATTCCCTAACCTATTCAAATTCTAGGAAAGGACCAAGGACTTGAGAGGTTTTAACAAACTAAAAAGGTGGTTTTCAATCTTTTACGAATTTTCTTCTACTATTGCCCTTTGTTTGGAAATGAAGGATCCATCAAATTTACTGGCATCACAGAAATAGTTGTAAAAGGAGTCCAAGATGGGAAATCTGTCTGAGTGTTCCAACTGGCAAATTGAGTATGGATTAATTGTAGATAAGATTTTTGAAGAGAATCCTGTGCTCCTTTGGTTGCTACAGATCTGATCAGATTAACTGTAGCAAGTAACTCAACTACTGTCCATCCATGAACAAATTTTGCCCTTCTTATCACCCATTCTTTATGCAATTAAATTTACTCAAATATTATGCAAATCTGAAGGAACTGCAGGTGGTAGTCAGTATACTTCCAAAAATCACATTAGATAAAAAAAACAATTTTTAGAAAGAATGCCTACTATCCATAATTTTTTAATTTGGCACTACAGGAATTACTTACGGTGATATACCATTTGATAAATAGAGGAAAAAGAAAAAGGATACAAGAAGCTGAGCAGTTGTAAAAACAACCCTAGTTGGCTCTGATACCATGCCCATCGTAGATGCATTGGAAGGTGGGAACAGGGTCCAAGCACATAAGCTCGATGCAAACTTGGGCAAAGGACAAATAATCTCCCAACTGAAATTAAAAAATCCAACATTCAATCATATAGGGCGACAATACAATATTATATTTACCAGTTCTATTTTGGACAAAAACTGAAATGTACAAGAGAAATTAACAGCATAGAAAATGCTTGTGTGATTTCAATTCTCTTTCAATATGTCATGCATGGTTTTAATGAAAGTTCCTGCATGTTGTTCCTTCTGTATGTTGTTGTGAACGAATGGTCCTGTTATATTTAGGACAGCTTGTGGTGCTTTAATCCAGTTTCCTTGTTGTAAATTATTATCTTGTTGCAGTGATGGGTTCTTCTTCGCAGTCAAAGAGGTCTCTTTACTTGACCAAGGGAGCAAGGCCCAGCAATGTATCCTACAACTTGAGCAGGTGATACAAAGTGGAAGTTCATTTTTAAGTGCTGTTTATGTTTTATTAAGCAGTCTGTAATATAGGAAACTGGAATCTTTTGCATGTCATCCTTCATTAAACAACATTACACCACATATTCTGTGTCATTATGTGAATGTTAGGGATTATTTGTTTGGATCATTCATCATTTTTCTAATTGTTTGCTCATGTTTTACCATTTCCAGGAAATTGCTCTTCTAAGTCAGTTTGAACATGACAATATTGTGCAATATTATGGTACAGACAAGGTACTCCTATCCCTTGACTCAATTTATATTTAATGATCAGTTTATGTCCATAGTTTATCTTTTACAATTTGCTTTTTTGGATTGACAAACACTTGCTTCTAGATACAATATGTCTCATGATCATTGCTTTTCCTTTCGTCACACGGTATTTTCAGTATTTTTTCACTTGCTTCACCAAGAACATTGCGAGACCTTTTGTGTCACAAAGATCACTATTTCAATGCTATGAGATCCTTTCAGCAGCAAAAACACTGTGCATGAGTATTGATCATAGAGTTCCTTTTTGCTTCTGTGGACTGGACCATATGATCTATTGACCATTATTGACACCTGATAATTTTTGTTATACCATATATATTTGTGCATACACACTTGTATATCTGTGTGCACATGGTTTATCCTCTTTTGACAATCATCTACATGTTTTACCAAGTTTCTGATGTCGTAGAACTTAGGCATCAGTCAATGATTATTTTCTGAATGGTATGCACACTGTAACAGGTTTTTCCTCTATGGCTAGAGATCTTGTACCTTAGTTTATGGGGCATGGGGAAGAGTGCAAAACCGTTCTCTTTTTAGTGGAGCAAATTTATTATTTTATGCATATTCGTGTTCTTGGCATGATCATGAGGAAGCAACATTGGTCGCACAAGCATCTGCTTTCATGTGTTGCCTCTTTAATCTATGGGACTAGTTAGTTCGTACTTTTATAGAGGCAATAAGTAAGCTTTTACACGTTTGATGTTCTTAATGTAGTATAGTGAATTCTTCCATACTGGTTTAGGTAGAATACTACAAAGGTAAATTCTAAAGTCCCCTAGGGCTATTGCGTCATTACCATAGGAAAGTGAGCATATGCGAGTGTTCTGGCTCATGTTGTTCATGGAAGTCAACTGCCCTGACTCTCATTTGTTACATAGGCTATATTGATCTATATCCTGTTGGAATGTGGCACTAAGCAATTGGTTATGACGGATATTTGAGAGAAGGAATTGGCCTAGAGGAGATTAAATGATTGAGAGAGGAGTGGATCAGTGCATTTAAGTGATTTGCGTAGAAAGGAAGGAGAGGTCAAGCAGGGAAGCTGAAATTGGTTAGAAAGGTGGGAAGCACCTTTTCGTTTTTGGCAATAATAATGTGTGGTTTAAATTAAGTTTTTGGTCAATATACTTCCCACTTATGCACATCCATCCATCATGCCATCCTTTTATGCATCCCCCAAAGTGCATACTCCTTATTGCTTAGGCAAAGTTAATGCACCTTGTGCATTATTGATGTAGATTGGCCATGCTTCTCCTGAAGATTTGATGTGTGTGCATTCTTTGTGCACGCAATATGCCCATTCATTTGTCATGATTTGCCCATATCTGCAATTTCTATACCTGCCCACTTGACAGCATGATGTGATACTCCCTTCAAAACCAAAATTAACCACCTGCTTTCACATCTTTGTCATCCTCCATATCTTCACATTGACCCAGCCATATTATGGCTAAAATGATGCTTCCATCATGGATACCCGTAATCTATTTCTTTTCTGATAATACCCATAGTGTGCTTATATTGATGATGTGTGCATGCCCTCCACATTGTTGAACTTTCTACAGTATAGGACTGTTTGGTTTTTGGCATCCTCGGGTATGTACTTTTACTTATATCCCTTCATATGTAGTTTTACCTGATGGCACTGCCACCCTTAGGAGAAGCAGCAGTGCCTTTTTTAGGCAGTTAACTGGGCTCACTATGCTAGTTGCTTGCCTCAAGGGAACCAGGCAGGTGTGTGCTGGCTGCTTGGGCCAGGGTAGTATGGATTGTTCTTCCCTGTATTATATCCCTTCATATAATACACTGAGCCCATGCAGTAAACTGGGCTCAGTGTGCTAGTTACTTATATCCGTTCATATGTAGTTTTACCTGATGGCACCGCCACACTTAGGAGAAGCAGCAGTGCCTTTTTTAGGCAGTTAACTGGGCTCAGTGTGCTAGTTGCTTGCCTCAAGGCAGCCAGGCAGGCCTGTGCTGGCTGCTTGGGCCAGGGTACTATGGATTGTTCAGCCACTTGGCAACATGGGCTCAATACATCTGCGCAGAATGTTATATGCAACCTTACAGGTTCATTATGGTGACCAAGAGCATACTTTCTACAAGGAGAATCCTAATTTCCTTGTGTTTTTCACTGACTTATCAAATTTCTCTCCAGTCACTTCAATGGAATTGTTCAGGGGTGGTGACAGGACCCACAGTGTGATTTATTACATACAACCCAAGTTAAAGTTTTATGTTATTTCTATGTTAAGTGGAGCTCTATAGTAATTCATACGCTGGTGAACTTCCTAACCAGAGCTGCAGGTTATGGTTCTAGTCCGCCAAGTAGGCTTCAATGAAAAAGGAAAAATAAAGGATAAGAAGGATGGGGATGATGAAAATACCTCAAATACATTCTCTCAATAAAGATTTCCCCTTTGTTGACTATATTAAGGATTTGGAATTTGGACCATTTAATTCCCTTGAAATGTGGCTATCATGCCAAGCGGAATGAGCTGTCCTGTGTAAAATAAATATCCTGAAGAAGTGTTTTGATATTTTTTGTCATTTTTCTACTAGAAGTTGGTTTTTCTGTTACAGTGAAAATCTTCAACGAAAAATTTCCACAACTCAAAATTTACCTGAGATTCTGGAATATCAACTGGAGAGTTTTCAAACATTGTTGTTGAACTCGACAGCTTGCTAGTTCATGTGAACAATGATTCAGAAGGTGAACCTCTACATGCTTGATCAAATTCTAGGGTTGTGAGGAGCAGGCCTTCTTCTCGGGCTATACTCATTTGTATGAGTCATGCCTTTTGATTTAAATAGTAGTGGACATGTGCTACCTGGGCACGGGCATTACATGTGTGGCATTCATGCATTTACATTTTTATATGTGTTTATATATGCACATGCTTTGTCATACATCCTTAAGGTATATCCTGTGTATTGTGCATTTGGTCATCTGAATTTTCAATTGATTTAAGTAACCTTTATAACTCACACTGATCACTTTTTATTTGCTTACTTTTGTAGATCATGATCTTGGTTATTTTTATGTTTTTTTGAAAAGCTTCATGCTCTTTTTTTGTATCTCACTATTTTGTTTGTCATCGAAGAGTATGCATAAAGATTTACTGGTTCATAGTGATTTGTGCAGGAGGAGCAAAAATTATATATCTTCCTTGAACTTGCAACAAAAGGTTCTCTTCAAAAATTATATGAAAACTACCATTTGAGGGATTCTCAAGTCTTGGTATATACGAGACAGATTTTGAATGGTCTCAAATATCTACATGATCGCCATGTCATGCACAGGTGATTTGATTTCTTTATGTCCTTTAATGTATTTCTTAGAAAGTTTAGTATGTTGGCCAACATCTAAAAAGGAAAAAAAATTCAGTCCACTAGCTGGGTTTGTGTCTTTATTAGAATAAGTCTCCAGTATTTAAAAACTGCCGGGCAGCGCCCAGGCAGCAGTGGGGCCGCCCAGGTTATAAGAACCATAAGGTGTCTGATCCAACTGTTTTAGGGCCAAATTATGTGTAAAACCTAAAAATGCATATTGAGGCATATAACACATTAAGAATACATGACATTTAGTTCATCCATAGTCCATTATTCCATTATCTATACATGTCAGACCATTCCATACTCCATAAATGCCATGCACAGTAAAAATAGGAAAATATAACCCAACATCCAAAATTTTTGGATTCAGTCATCAATTCATTTTCAAGAAAAGGAAAGAAATAACACATATGACATATCAAATGTCCATAGTCCAAATCCTCTCCTGCATGCTCCAATGTCTATAGTCCATACATGCACATAATAGGAGAAAAAGTAAAAAGAAAGAAATATAGAGACTTGAAGACTCAAAGAGTTTTAAGTCATCACTCATCATTAGAAAAAGTAGGGTAAGCATGATATGCATCGGAGTCGAGCCTATCATCATTGGAGTCATTTCCCCCCTCAACATAATGGTTGTCTTCCTCTGTCTCTTCTGAATCTACCTCTGCTTCCTCCTTCCTCTGCCACCCTCATCCTCTGTGAATAAGATCCAATGGCTCTAGGAGGGTCGGCTGTTGTCCTTTAAGCCTCCATGACCATAACCCGTGCCAATCCTTCATGCCCCTTGGCCTCATCATCATCAACCAACCACTCCATGGAATTATCCATATTTTTTTATCTGAGGGGGTCACATGCCCAGAGATATGCATTTTTCAGGCCCCTTTTTTTTATTACGAATCGCCCATTCAGCTGCCCAAGGCAGAATGCATCAGGAATATGAACATAGCACTTAGACCCGATTACTTTGAGATGTGAGTAGTCTGGAACCTTGTTCAATAACAATTCTATTGGATCTCTCGTATCTCTCTTAGCAAACCTCTCCTTCAAGTATCGATTGCACTTCACATAAACTAGGTCATTGAGCCTCTTTGATTCAAGCTTGTTTCTTTTCTTTAAATGAAACTAATTAATATTACAAATTTACAATTGACATAGTAATCAATAACTACTAATTACTAATACAAATTAGTAAATTGTCAACTAATAAAATAAATTACCATCTCAAAAGTACTCCAATTACACTCACAGCCGGACGAGGTAGTGGTTAGGCTCAAGATCCTAATGGTCAACTTTTTTAAGTTTGGGGCGCTATACCCATTTAGGCTCTACCAATTGGCTGCATATTGATTATGAATTACGATTATTTATGAAATATAAAAAACAAACAACAAATATGAAACTTGAACTTGAGGGCTGGGTTAAGTATATTATTATCTGGATCAATTTTGGTCCTTTGTCTCATAACCATTGGACTGCCAAAAGACTTCAATGCTCACTTGTAACTTATTAGCTCCTCAACACATATAATGTCTTGGATATCCTTATTAGGGACTAGCATGTCCAGACACTTATCAAATCCAATCATAATTATGTCATTTGTCTTCATATCCCTCTCAATATAATAAAAAGTTGGGTTCAAATAATAGCCAACTACATGCAATGGTCGATACAGCTGCCTATCGTACTTCTCATCAATAATCTTCCAAATTTGCTCATAGCAGCTCACATCATTATCCAAATTATGGTCTCTCTCTCTCTCTTACAACTTTCCAGTGCCTTATACCCTTACTAATTCCTGGCCCATTTGCATGCTCTGCAATCACAAGAGGCGAACATCTGCCTCAGCTGAGCTCTCCTCGAATGTATGCTATCTAGACGTAGGTACCGGGTAGCAAATCTCATGACCCCTGGCCGCATTATCTCCTTCTTCTTGTAAATATGCGCATCATGCTGAGGGTGAGGACGTGGCTATAAATGAAAGTTGTAATTGTCCTAATCTTCTTAACTACACCTGCAATCTTGCTGAAACCTCCAATAGGCTCAAGCATGAGGTCTATGCAATGTGTTGTACATGGTGTCCAAAAGATATGAGTGTAGGCTATACACAATAAATTAATAGCAACAACATTAGGAGCAGCATTATCAGTGACAACCTGTATAACATGCTACTGCCTATCTTCCTTGATGCCCTTCTCCATCACTTTAAATATGTAATTAGTATCATGTCTATCATCAGAGTCATCAATAGACCTTAAAAAAACGGTCCCTAAAGGACAATTCACCAACGAATTCATCTGATTTCTTCTCTTCTTGTCAATCCAAGGATCAATCATAATAGAAACCCTATGTTGAGTCCATGCCTCCTTCTGTGACTCCACTATCTCCCTTGTAACATTCACCTCTTTTTCGAAAGAGGCTCTGAAAGCTCAATTGTGGTTGGGGGCTTCAACCTAGGTCCAAATTGACCAATTGCCTCTACCAAGGTGTAGAAGCTGCTTAGGCGAACGGTGTTGAAATGAATACCCACCTCATAAAACCACTGAACAATGTACTGAGCAGTCTCTCTCTCTCTCTCTTCCTTCTTGATTTTGTTTTCAATGGTTCTTTTTTCTATGTTATCTCACCTGCAACCTAAAAATTAGGCCAGGGCAAAAAAAAATCCATATGCCCCCTAACCCGAGGCCTCTTAGGCTCCCCACCCTTAAATCCAACTGCAACTCCCTTTCCTTTCCCTCTAGTCTGGGACATAGCAAGCTTCTCCACCTCATTATTCTCCTCGTCATCATAAAATACGAACCCCAGACCTTACCTATGCTACGCATGCCTCTCTTTCCTCTTTTTTCTTTTTTACTATATTCATATAGTTCTTTGTCTCCTCCCTAATCGCATCAGGAACTTTTTACAAAGGGCAACATCCCCCTTGATACTGGCAAGATGTTTCTTGAATCAATTTATACCCCCATTTGTATCCTTCTCACAATAATTGCATATTAAACAATTTTTGTCTAAAAGATTTGGATTATAGTCGTATTTCCAACCCGGATCACTACTACTATTAGAACTTGAAGAAGACATCTCAAATTAATCTAAGCAATCAGAAAAATAATTTTTTTTCACATACTTTGATTGTTCAAACTTCAAACTTCCACCTTAGAGATATTTCTCAATCTTAAAATCTACTAAAAAGAACCCCTATTAGGCCTTAAAAACTGCAAAAGTAAATCCAAACTCGAATGGAGATGTTTGAATCGATTTCTTGGAACTTTCAGAAATCCTTTGATCTTGTGGAAATAACGAATTTGTAGTTTTTCTCTCTCAAATAGTTCAAATGCGGTTTAGGTGGCATATGAATCTAGACACCCCCCTCCCCCCCTCCCCCCCCTACCCTCTCTCTCTCTTAAAACAAAATAGAAAAAGGCCCCAAAATGCCCCTCCACGAGGTGCATTTTTGCCCCTGGGTGGGGGAGCCCGTCTTGCCCTATGCGATGCGCCTAGGACTTTTTAAATCACTGAGGCACGACCATAAGAGTCTATTAGTTGTGTATCTCTATAGAAGCGGTTGAGAATATTTAGCTAATCTTTAGTTATTTTTTTCTTTGTTATATTTGTGTTTGCTTATGTTCATTTTACATGCATGCACTCACACACACACACACACTCTCTCTCATATCTATGTGTTTCTCTATCACACACAGAAAGGGAGGGAGCCCATATCTACTAGCCCCTTCCCCATATCCATTGACTTTGATTAGGTGGGGGACCGACAAAGAAGAAAAACTTCAAATCATTTCCCCCCACTTGATGATCATCCTCCTTCAAAAAAGATCGATTTGGAGCTCAGAAAAGCTCCAAGTTGAATTCCCGCCTCATTTTGAGTCTGGACCGTTTATTTCTTGGATGTTGACTTGGGGGATTTGGAGCTCCAAATCACTTATTAGTTGAAGGTGAGTGTTGTGTTGTGAGTCCCTCAAATTATTGAGAAGTGGTAGATTTGGAGGAGCCATTGCAACAGTATTGGCCCTTGGTCTCATGGAACACTTTCCCATATGAGAGAGAGAGAGGAGGGGGGGGGGGGATGGGTTGAAGAGGAGAGTTCGAGTTTCTTTCTTTTCTTATGATAATTTCAAATTCCTCTGAAATACTTATATGGTACTAGGGTCAAGTACTCCACAAAAGCTACTCTTTTAATATCTTCAACTCCTTTCATTACCAGAATTTTCTTTAATCAATTTGGTCTTTTTCCTTTTATTTTATTTTATTTTATTTTATTTTGTGGGGAGGGGGGGGGGGGGCGCGGGGGTGTGGTGGTGGTTGGGGGAGGAGGTGGACAGGGAGTGGAGCAATATCACTCTTGTGGGCTACACATTAGTTCACTCTACTATTGGGGACCCTATTGGCATGCCTGGAACATAGTTCCTGTCTATCAAATTAGAGATATCCATGTTTCTTTGTTTAGGGGTTTTGGAATTCAAAATTATTATTTTGACTCTCAACATGTAAGACTTCACCCTTCTGATCTCTATGATGTATCTTTAGGTTCTTAAAAGAAGTCTATAGTCAGCTAAATTTCAACACCTTTGGATCTCCGATGTGTCCAAACTCCAAATCATATTAATATTAGATAGCCAATTAAGAAAGAATTTTGGATGGTTGTCATAATTAAGGTTAATTCTTTCACTTTTTTTTTTTCCCTTTTTCAGCATCTAAATTCTATGCATTTTGTTTTCTCTTGAAGGGATATCAAGTGTGCCAATATTTTGGTGGATGCAAATGGGCATGTGAAGCTTGCAGATTTTGGGTTAGCAAAACAGGTTTGCCCTAATTCCCATGTGTTAGATCTTTCCTGCACATTTGTGATCTGTACTTGATATATTGAACTTATACTTCTGCATGTGTTGTTTCCAGACATCCAAACTGAACGAGCTGAAATCTTGCAAAGGAAGTGCATATTGGATGGCCCCTGAGGTGGGCATCTATTAATTTGAAAAAATTATAATATTATATATGGATGCATAATAGTAAATAATTTAAGATATGGTCGTATGATTACTTTGTTATTATGGATTTAAACTTAATTGATTCAGAGTACACTTATTTATACTTGCTCTTATACCTTGATCAAGTAAAGAATTTCTGAGGAAACTTATTCACTTTCCTGGCATTTGTGGTAGTGTATGTTATTGAGACTATTCAGACTGAAATTGGTTTTGTAGATGGTCCTTATTGCCTAGAATATTGGGCTTATGATCACTTACAATGCACAGTTTATCATCAATTATTAATAGTGTGTGTGCGCATGCAAGCATGTGCATGTGTAAATTTGAAGTATTGGGAGGATAAATAGGTGGGGTCTTTGTTTGCAGGGTGAAATGAATTTGTCGCGTTATCCCAATTCAAGTTGGATGTTTTCATCTTGTTTCTCGAAAAGCCTTGTGAAATAAAAAACAAATGAAAAGCAAGTAACTGACAAGCATGCATGGAAGATGGCCATTCGTTCACATTGCGTCACTCATTTAATTTAAAAATCATACATGTATGTGTAGTGTCAGCATGGGTATTCTGCATGAAAATGATTGGCTTTCAAACTTTTAATGTTCATTCATGGAATTTGTCAACCATATTTTTTATAGGATTCTTTTGTAGATTTTAAAGTATTGCATATATGTCATGGAAATCAGTGCCTGTGTATCTGGCCATCTAATTGACGACCTACCTTGAAGCATGCATTTACATTTATTTCATGAAAATCATTCCATGTATTTGACCTTGTAAATGACAAATCTACCTTGCAGCGTGCATTTAGTATCCTTATTTCCTGAGAAGTTTGCCCTTTGTTTTCATTGCAACTCATATCTATCCATTTATGTCATTATTCTCCTCTCTACAGGATCATTCCTGTGTCTTTCATTGTCACTCTGTACGTGGAATTTGCAATGTCAAATATTTTTTGTCAAAGAAATGCTTTGCTTTGGAAAGTTGTGTTAATGCAATCCAGTGCAGTTTAGTTGACATTTTGTTGGTGGTCAAAAGGGGTATAGTTTGCTATACCCCTTTCCCATTGGAACAGATATACAAAATGACGCTAAAAAGTGGTGTTTTATATTTTATTTAGAGTTGAGTCAATTGTGGAATAAATCAAAAGATTATTCAATACAAGGCTGAGTACTGAGAGTCTTCAGTGAAAATGTAAATTAGCATCTGAACAGTTGAACACATGGATTTCAAGGTTTTCTGATCTGTCTAGTATTTGTGCATGAACTCACTGATTGTGCATAGGAATTATGAATGGATTGTTGTCCTTCTTCATCTTAATGATTTGATCATTCATCGTTTACAATTATATATGTGGGAGCTACATTTAGCCATATGATTAAATAACTTGGAAACACTCACTCAAAAAAGAAAAAAACTTGGAAACATGACTTGAGACTTGTGCAAGTTGGATCAACATGTAGGCTAGCTGAGGTTTTAATGACTCATTTGAGTAGCACAAACGTTAACTTTTCTGCACATCACATTGCCAATTCTTACTGAGTTGATCCTGTTCATGACCAATTAATCCTTGTCAAAACTGAGTCAGAATGGCAATTTTAGCATTTCAATTGATGCTCATCTCTTACGGTTATTGGAAGAAGAAATTTGCGGTTTGATCTACAATTTTCCAGAAGAAATTTGGGGTTTGATCTAAGTTTTTTATTTTTGTTGAGAATGTTAACTTTGTATTGAAAGAGGGCAATAGTACAAAAATTCTCCCCTAAGAATTGGGGGCTATACACATCCCAAAAAATTAGGCTCCCCTTAAGGGATCCTTGTACAAAATCCCGTGGGGTCGAATAGGAGAGGTAACGGGACTCTCTCCACCAGAAATGAGGACTGAGGCTGCAAAAAATTACTCAGGCACTAGAGCATTAGCACCTTCTTTGGCGAGGGAATCTGCGTTTGAATTGCATTCACACCATACGTGTCTCCAAGATCCTAAGAAGCCCAAACAGAGGATGTCTGAACTAGGATGTTTAGGTATCTAGGATGTTTAGGTATAGTGTTAGATATTTATTGTCATTCAGGTAGTCCCATGAGGGATTGCCGATCCTTTGTTGGTAATGCTAGTGTCGGTTTTCTCCTGGAGTTCATGTGGCTTTCTGGTTGGTTGTGTGCCCAAGGCAGGTAGATGTGACCTGTATCAGGTCAAGCGACATGGTGAGGGAATGTGAACTCTGTGTGGAGGCTCTAAGAGAATGGTTTATGTGGGGGCTCGCTCACCTAATGGCTGCCGATGAATGCAAACTATTTGGTTGAGAATTTTTGCATGTGTGAGGCTTTCAAGTGCTCCAAGGTATATTAGTCTGAAGTAAGACTATGCCTCCCACCCATCTCATTGTAGGATGACTTTTCCTTGAATTAATATCTAGATGGAATACTGCCATCCTGCCATTGGGGTTTCAAACTTCTGAAAATGCAATTTGAGTTATTGGATGGCAGGGGAACGTAGAATTTATGGTACTCGCTTTTGTTCTCAGCTGTGAATTGAACCAAATTCAAACGGAAAAACGTGGGGCCCATTGCTCTCATGCTTAGATTGGAAGGTAAGGAATGGCATATTATTTGACTCTTGAAGGGGGGAGAAGGTGGCAGATATGGCTTAAGGAAGTGTCTACCTGTCACCAATGCCTTTAACTGGTGATTCGGTTATGGAAGAGGATGGCTTTTCTCCTCTGACTTTTTTGAAGAAATTGTCTCTTATGATTTGAAACCAAGGTGCTGCAGTATCCTTTGAACTGATATGAGTTGATAATTGGATATGTTATTGGCTAAAGGAATTAATCTTCTTTTTTTGTCTATGATCAAAGAAGAAGGACGCATTCCTCTCTGTGATTAAAAATTTACAAGAAATAACTTGCAGTTTCTTGACATATCAGTTCAGATGGCTCAATTGTTTGAAAGCTGTGTTTTATCTTAAATTCCAAGAAATTCTGTTTTAGGATCAGATGTGTAGACATATCAAGTTAAGATTTTTTATTAGATATCCCAGACATGGGATTTAGTTCATTGTTCATGTTTCCCATTCAACATGACCATGTTTCTTTGCCTTTTACAGGTTGTTAATCCTCGCAAGACTTACTCGTTTGCTGCTGATATATGGAGCCTTGGTTGCACTGTTTTGGAGATGTTAACTCGGCAGGTTCCATATTCTGAACTGGAATGGGTAAGTCATGAAATGATGGTACAACAATTAATGCTCTTATCTAATTGTCTTGCTTGATCAGTAGAATTTACTACTCTGCGAAACTTTGAGGCTTCCTTGAGAGGAGAAGTGATTCCTCTGTTCTATTAATGAGTCGGTGCTCGATAAATTCGAATTGCTATCAACTAATAACTTGGCTTATGATGACTTCTATTGAGTAGGATATTTTGTTTGGTTGTATTATTGTAGAGAACAGAATTCAAAAATTTGCCCCCCAGGCACCTAGGACTAGCTGCCTCTACATTTTTGAAGCATTGGTGGTGAAATGTGTAATGAGTTATTACTAGCTGGACGTAACTGTGATATTCCAGAGATATAAACTACATGTTCAACATGCTTTTTGACTCATCAGTTGATGTACTTTGCGGAAACGATCAAGGTTTAGGTCAGAGAATGTTGTATTGAATAAATTAAAGATTAAAGAATGTTTTGGTCCAGTTATATGGGTTCTTCGCCTTGATAACTTATTATTTAACTTCTTACACTTTTCAAAAATCCCTAAAAGATTGGTCGAAGATTTTTTTTTTTTTTTGCGAGTAAATGTTAATGATTGGTCCAAGCAATTCAATACAGATTTCTTTAATCATTTAGTGTCATAGTTTTACCAGTTATTCTATTTTCCCATGTTATGTTTAGCATGGTATTCTTATGATCCTATTGTTTGCTGTTATTGTCATCCTCACTTGCAATGAATTTTAGAGTTGTGTTTCAACTGAAGCATCGTCTACATTTTTCAATATGAAAGGTTTCAAGAAGCTCAATTTCTTCCAAGGTATTTGAATATCTGTCTTCTCAAGATATGCTTCGATCTAAATGCACATATGGACTTGAACATAAGGATGATGCTTGAATGCAAGCGTTTTTTAATGCAAGCGTTTTCCTATGCCTGACATACCATCTACTAAATTGAAGGAAGGTTAGTGAGGAATTCCTTTGTGTGTCCCATGGAATATTAGAGCATGATGGTGACATTCTCTCGCTGCTTAGGGATGAAATCTCTTCTCCTTTTGTTATTCAAATTTCTCAGGACATGCATACCCGCTCTAAATCTTACATGGAGACCATTAACTCTTGGTTCTACCTCAACTGGTCTGTCTTGTCACCCTGCTAGACCTTCAATTAGTGTTAGATGTGTAAATGCTGCTAGGGGTGGATCACCATCTGATTGGTGTTCAAGACAGTCGTCTTTTACATATAAATGAAAAACAGCCCATGTATTGAGTAGAAAGGAAGCGAAATTGCTAAGTTCAGCAAAGGAGCTGAATATTGTACCTCGATCAATACTGTTGTTGACATAACATGGCTTAGTTCTAATCTGCATCTTCACGGTATTCATTTTAAGAAACCATTTGTTATACATTATGATACTCAGAGTTACCTACATATTAGCCAGAATCCAAATCATGCATGTTTTGGAATTTACTCCAAGAAAACTCATGGCCAACAAATTTCTTTTGAATTTGAATCAACTGTCATTTTCTTTTCCTCTTTTTTCCCTTCTTTTCTTGTCTGGGTCACATTGATTGTCAATTTACTCCAAGAAAACTCATGGCCAACAAATTTCAACCAAGTTATGTGTTCCCTTCCAACCAATGTTTTCAAAATCGAATCGGAACGGTTAACCAGACATAGGGCCGGAAGCAGTATAACAGGCCTAACCAGTAAACCGGCCGATTCAACCGTTCTAACCTGGCAAGTCCCGGGCAGTCAAAAAATTGTTGAAAAAAATAAAAAAATTACAAAAAGAAAATCTACTAAAATATGAAAAGCGTACAAAGAATGATTAAAACAAAACACATTCAAATGAAGTTGATAAATAATGAAAAAAATGGATTTTAAAAAAGCGATTTGTGCCTAGGGGTATTTTTAATGTTTTTTAGAAAAGATGGGAAAATATAAAAATAAGTATTAATGACAAAATAATTTTTAAACTTCACCATAATGTAAAAATATTAAAAAAATGCATTACAAACCAAATTCCTTATTTTTGAGATTTTATATACATTTTTTGAATTTTGCTTTTTTAAAATACTTGTCGATCACCAAAACCGCCCAAAACCAGAACCAACAAGTAGCTAGTTCCGATCTAACTGGGCGGTTACAGGTTAGATCGCCCGGTTTTTTCAACATGGCTTCCAACCACTCATTGGTTGTGCCTATCTTCTAACGAGGGTGGTGTCCTGTGATGAGGATATATGTATTTCAATCCTCTTTTTTGCTTTTTTTGTTGAAACTGTTAACCTGTATTAAGAGTAGAAGTAGAAGATGTACAACAGCTACCCCCATCGAGAAGAGTGGCAAAAAGCCCTACAAGCAGGATTACAATTATTAGCAACAGGATTACAAGCATAAGTAGAAAATGCAAAGATACACCCAACACACAGAAAACAGATAAAAACATGAATGAGACGCAGCTTAGAACAACTCTATAGAAGCTCCCTGCTTAGCTAGCACGTCAGCCACTTGGTTGGCCTCCCTCTAGGCATGCGTCCAAGAGACCTGCATATGCCTACAAATATAGGAAATCTCAACAAAGATAGCCAATAGTCTCCAGGTAGAGCTAGATTCTTGTGAGGCCCAGGTGATGATGCTTTTAGAGTTATCCTCCACGACTAGTACAATGCTGCATGAAGGGTTGAAGAGTTTGAGTCCTTCCAAGAGGGCATGGGTCTCTGCCTCAGTGGAATCAGATGTACTGATAGTCGAGGTGAAAGAGAGAAGGGAGATTCCAGCATGTGTTTCAGTCTTTAACGATGATATGTGTATTTCTTCCAGTTTTTTGTGTCATGAACAATGCACATCATTGGTATTTTCCTCACATGCATGGTTTGTATTTCATGAACTACTTTTAAGTATGTGTATGGTATTATATTTGTGACTACCTCTGTGTATGATATTACTTATTATCCATATTGTCTTCATTCACACAGAAAGAATAAAACTGATCTCACTTTTTTATCTATTTAGTTCATGATGCATCAATGTATGTCAGGAGAACTAGAGGAACCTCTTTCATATCTATATTTCATTATTCATCAATCCTAGCTTTTAGTTTCAAGGACAAGCAGTGTCCTACAAAGAATTTAGTGTATCGTTGCAGGGGTGTCCTACAAATAATTTAGTGTATAGTTGCAGGGAGCACCTTCCCTAGGGGATGCTCCTGTTCCGGAAGCATGGTTCTGCATTCCCTGAGATGATCCCCATTGGTCGCTTGTTCCTGACTATCCCATTTAACATGGATCATGATGTATAGTCATTAGTTATGTGATTAGACATTTTTTTTAACATATATGCCATATATAAACATGAATACAGTCAACTATAGTAAGCTGTGTGTTATGTTTTTATACATGTTGATTGTATACCTTATGTTAATAGGAGATCGGAGAAAGATCTCAAGGTTTCATTAACACTTTTGAAAGACTATGGTGGTGGATAAAATTCAGTTTCCTTTCTTGTCGTGGCCC